AAGCAGCCAGTGAAGACAGGACTCCAGGTGAACACAAAGAAGGTGAAGGCGGAGGTGATGAAGATAACCAACCAACAGCAACAACAACCAGCATCAATCACAATCAGCGGGTGAGATTTGACAGCGGTGACTTCCTTCACTTATCTGGCTAGAAGGCACTGTTCCAACACAGGCAGTCGAAACGGATGAAAATGCCAAAGCCAGTCAGCCAGAATCAGAAAGCCAAGATACACCTTCATCAACCTGAAACCAGTTTGTAAATCTTCTGCATTCACTCAGTCAGCATAAGGAACAAGATTCGGATTTTCAACACAAATATGAAGTCAGTCAGTCATTTCTTCTATACGGGTCAGAAAATTGCACTACCTGTCACGGAAAGGATTCCCAACAATTTACAGACTTTCATCAACAACTACCTTCGCTGGCTCCATACTGAAGATCAAATGGCCGGCCAACCGGAAAGAGTAAGTGACAAGAAACTCTGGCAACAAACCAACCAGGAGCCGATTGCTCAACAAATATGTAAGAGAAAATGGTGACGGATCAGGCATACGTTGAGGAGGCCGTCGAATGACATCGCGCGCAATGCAGGCCATCACTCGAGCGGAATCGGAATGGGAAGCGACGAGTGCGTCGTAACTATTGGAGTGACATGGAGGAGATTGTGTGGTGAGGAGGAGATGAGAGATTATGGGCAATCGTAGACCCAGTTAAAGGGGACGGCAGAAAATAGAAGAAAGTGAAGATGTGTTTTTGAAGCCCTATGTTCCACCGGGAACCCAAGAGAACAGTAATAATAATAATGATTGTTGTTATTAATTTCAAATATTATTCGAATCAACGAATTAAGACGGATTTCTTTTTCTAGCCCAATTCATGTCATATAATTACTTTTAGAAGTTAGTCTGATAAACCCCGAACAATCATTTGCCAGTCCTCACGTGGCCTCTTTTGGAGGATGGCATTTGTAGCTGGTATGTCCCTGTTCATTGTCCGCTCATCTATTTTCCTCCATATCCTGTCTGCTTTAACAACTTAGTTAGTCTATGTAAGACTGACTTTCCTTAAGTTGAGAATCCTTGTGAAAAACAAGTGCTTCATTGTCACGGTTGCAAGCGTGGTGCATTTCACACCAAAATTAATCCCGTCTTTTTATTTAGGATTTAAGATTTTATTGTAAGTTGTGTAGTGGTCATCAAAGTGTACTTGACTAACTGATTTTCAAAGTAGGACTTTGCACAAAAGGGTGGCAGTCTAAGATGCCACATCCTATTTTTCACACGAAGGTAGGGAAAGGCGGAAATATAATGTAGAGACAAATGTACGGGAGAAAGAATAAGTATGAGCAGAATCATAAGGATTTAATGGATTTGAGAGATATCACAAAGAGTTAATGTATCCATCGAAAACGACTTTATGTCATATTAACCAACAGTCTCCAGTCATTGATTCTTAGCATCTCCAGGATACCCTACAGTAAAAAATTTTATAGATTGATGCCATGTTCTGATTGAATCACCTCTAACTCTTTTTCAACCATTTTTTATGTCAGCCAACATTGCCCGATGAGGATGGTGATGGCTCAGTATGTGTCCTAACCGTTTCAATCGATGTAAATTCACAACCTTATCAATTGACTTTCTTTCCTTACCGAACACTACTCTTAACCTCACTACTATTTATCACAGTATACCACTGAACATGGGAGACTGAACGCAAACACCTGTGATCAAAAACAGCTAACTTCTGCTTCTTCCGTTTTCAATGGTCCCATGTCTCACAGTCATAAAGAAGAAGAGAGCGAACTTCTGTGCACATTGTTTTAACTGAAGTTATTTTGAACGCTGACCTACACTGAATGGTTTTAAATGCTTCCCTGTATAGCTTTTTGTATGCATCTGGATGTTCTGTAACATTCTTACTAAAATAGTATCAGTGAATTCCTTTGGGTTACTAATAAATCTGATGAATGAACGCCAATATTTGACCTCCCAACAGAAAAAAATATACTAAATCACCATGGTCTCTGATACTTTTTTAACTCAGTCATGTGACTGAAAGTGTTTGAGTTAGATTTAATACCTGTTGAGCTTGAGCGAATTTCGTCCTGTGCTCCTGTTGTTGGTATGGATTACTGCAATTGAAACCTTCAATCATTTTGTATGCGTGGGGATGCTGAATTAGTTTCCATAGATTTTAAGAGGCTATGCTTTATTTAGGAACTTAGTTTTTTTATATACTAGGGAGAATGGGTATTATTAGTATTATTCCCTTGGGTCCCGAGTGGAACATAGAGCTTCAGCAACAAATATCAAATCCATCCCGTTCTCTGCAATCCTCCTTAACTGACTTCTCTACTACCTCTTCACACGATTTCCTCCTTGTCATTGTCGAACTCATGCCCAACTCGTCGTTCCCCATTCAGGTCCTAATCTAGGGCCTGGCGCATGGTGTCACTCAACAGTCTCCTTAGCATGTGTCTAAACCATCTCCATTTTGCTTCGAAATTCTTGTTGAGTAATAGCTTCTTGATTAGTTTCTTTCCAAAGTTCCTTGTTGCGAATGATTTCTGGCCATCTAATCTTCAGTATTTAAGTGAAGGCTGCTTGTTGATAAAAGACTGAATTCTATTCGTTATGCTCTCAGGTGACCCACGCTCCAAGTCTTTAAACCATGTAAGAAGAACTAACTCGATATTAGCGTTGAAAATGCGAATCTTACTCCTTATGCTGAATGCAGGAGATCTCCACTCTAATTTCAGAGCGATGAGGGTCTGTCTTACTTTTCCGATCCTACCTTTGAAATCCTCGTCAGTGCCGGATTTCTGTAGTTGAAACGATGCTGTCTAGAGTGAGAATGAGCAGTGTGATGGAAATTACAAAGAAAAGTTTTCAGTTGGAGGATATGGAAAACAATTTCCCTGTACAGTTTTTATAATTTATTTATTTAGGTTTAAAAAAGATTCAGTTTATTTTAAGGTCATTCAGCCACTCATTGTTTTATCTTATTAATCTGTTTTTCAATCTTTTTATATGTATATATGTGTGAAATAGTGTATAATGGATATAATTAGTGGCAGTTTAATTTTCTTCAATTTATTTCAATATTATGTATTCGTTTGTAGATCAGTTGTTCTTCTATTGTGCAATATGCCATAAACTGTTATGATCCTTTGTAGGAAATAGTGCATCTCTCAGTAAGGATATTCAAGACACATCAATCGTAATAATCATAATAATAATTTTCTATGGTTGGTTTGTATGGATTAGACTTGTTTTTACGAGTTGATCACGGATTGATATCAGTTAGAGAACCATTGAAAACCACGAGTACGACAAATGTTTCATCCTAGTTTGGGAATCATCGGCAGTACGCACCCACTGGGGTTCGAACCCAGGACCTTCCGGTTACAAGCCAAGCTCGTATACCATTCAGTCACTGGGACCCGATTCAATGGCCAGCCCATGAATTCTAACTTCTACCAGTCCGTGATTTAGCGCGACCGACTGGTAGAAGTTAGAATTCATGGGCTGGCCATTGAAATCGGGTCCCAGTGGCTGAATGGTATACGAGCTTGGCTTGTAATCGGAAGGTCCTGGGTTCGAACCCCAGTGGGTGCGTACTGCCGATGATTCCCAAACTAGGATGAAACATTTGTTCTGTACTTCGTGGTTTTCAATGGTTCTCTAACTGATATCAATTCGTGATCAACTCGTAATAATAATAATAATGGTAGTATAATTATAAAATGTGTGAGGTTCGGGTTGCATAATTTGTGAGTTAAGATCGAGAAAATATCAGCCGGACTTGTTTTAAGGTGTAGATGTATGTTGTATTTGTAATGTCAATCTGTAGGCGCTTATACGCGATGGCTTTTCGATCGCAGTTATCACTATCAATGCGCTTTTTCTGTCTGAACGTAAATTTTTTTTCTAAAGAAGATGTACTCGTACTTTCATCAGAAAACAATCCTTATTCATTGTATTTCAAGTATATTGGTACAACGTTTTTTAAAATTATTCCTTTACGTTCCCAGTGAAACATAGGGCTTCAAGCTAGAGGCTTGAAGTTTCTGTAGCAGTGTTGATTATTTTTACAGGATGGGGTTGCTAGCCTCATGCCCAACCTTCCCTCTTTACCAGTCTTATTACTGGCTTAGCGAGGTAAAGGAGTGCGTCTGTGGCCGGCGATCGAACCCCGGACCACCTTCGTGGTCGGCGAGCACTCTACCGCTATGCCACCGACGCACGGTACAACGTTGTACATCTCAATTTCTTTTTTTTTTCAATGTACGAATAATTCATTAGTGTTGGTGCTTGTCTCATAACAAGTGTGTCATATGTAGAGAAATTTCGACATCCCACCGGTATAACAACTTCGTCCTGGGTTAGAGACTAGTTCAGGCGGCACTTAGTGTTCGTAGAATGTCTACTATTTTAGTGGAATTGAATTATTCAAGAATTTACCTACGTAAAGTTTTCAATTCTGTGGGCCCTAAATACCATCCCGCCCCCTCAAAAGCATTTCATCCGGTTTGATGATGATGCACAGTACGTTTCAGTTACTTTTAGATTAAATTAAACGGAAAAATAATTTCTGGAGTTGTTCATAATTTTAATACTTCAGTTTGTTCTTCTCCTACATTCTCAAGTAAGCGACGGTGTGTTTTTCTAAACTGATGACTGTGGATTGATATCAGTTAGATCACCATCGATGTTTCGTGTTTGTTTATAACTCTTTAGTAGCAGGCACCCATATCCCCACGGAGGATTGAACACGGAACCTTCAGGTTACGTGGCAAGAGTACTGCTTAAGAGTCCCAAACTGTGACGAAGCAGCTGTCTGGTACTCCCTGGTTTTCAGTGCTTCTCTAACTGATATCAGTCCATAATCAAATCCCTAAAAATTAACACTAGAGAAAGGATTCTTGACTATGCTATTCTATATTCTGACTTTCAAGTAATTATTCAATTCTTTTTTTTATTTCTACAAAACTTTAGCTTCTGTGTCATGGTACTCTACCGAAATGGGTGAATCGGTTAGCTCGTATTGTATCCGGATTACCATTCATTGAATCCTTCCTACCACCACATTGGGTCCGACCTAGTTTAATGTATGACTGTGATTATGATGAAGAAGATTTCCGAGAAGAAGAAGAAGAAGAAGACGACGATGACGAAGAGGTGAAGACGCTTTCGGAAGATGAGAAAGAAGAAAAAAAAGAAGAAGAACCAAAAGTGGATACTGAAAAAAACAATCGGAATCTAGTCATAATTAATGAGACCCCTACTACTACTACTACTACCACGGCAACTAAAGCTACTGATAAAATGAAAAATACCACTAGCACTAGTAATTCTACAACTCACTACAAAAAAGCAGATGATCAGAATGTACAATGTCCTAATGACTCTTTAATGAAGACATTTACAGAAAAGCCACACTTTCAATTTGTGTATTCTGCATCTACAGGCAACGGGCATGTTCCACATCATAACAACAGTAATAACAATAAACACTCCATTGATCATTCAGATAATCATCACAATACTTCATTGTGTAATATTAGAATGGTGTGAATAATGGATAGAAAAAAAGAAAAGGAATATGCCAGTGTGTATAAATGAGAAATATACTGCCTATTCAATTCTTCCAAATAACAATGAATTATACTGGACATTATTACTATTACTATTATTATTATTTTTTACTCGACATTAATTATCTATATTGTTTTTGTAAAAATAGTTCTATCTGAGCACCTGCGGCATATTCATTCAGTCTACTTGATGAATTATGAGTACATTGTTGAGAAGGGAATCAAATACATTTTCTATTCATTCCCGTTTAATTTCTATGGGCAGCCTCCGTCCTGGCCCGTACCTACCCTCCACCCCCCCCCCCCGCCAATTTACTATCTTTATTCTCAGCGAATAAAAGTATGCTCAAATTCCTCTGTTGTTTTGATACATATTGTAGGCCGTTTGTCTTTTTTGTGGGTGTATCTCCTTTGTGATAGTATTGGAAACTTTTTGTATTGTTCGAGTAATTGTCTTTGTTTGATAGCTAGCACAGCAGCCAACCGTTAACTGATAATCGTTTGTCTTATCATCATCAGGTGTAAATTCACTTTTTTGATATGCGTCTTTCTGTGTTACCCCAATTCAATTCATTGACTTTTATTTTTGCCGTAATTTGCTCCCACTCTATTACTCTGAGTCGTCTCCATCGCCTTTTGTTTGTTTTGTAAAGTGTCTGTCTTGTTGATTTTTGTATTTGTTGAATATCTTGACAATTTGACCAAAAAAAAAAGAAAACAGACTAACATTTGTTTGATTTTCTATGCGTCTTTCTTTGTCTCTTCATAATTTGATATTGTTTTTTTTAAAGCTAATTTGTACTTGTTTTTATTATATAAAGACACTTGCTTATATAAATTTGGTATATATTTCAAAGATATATATGATTTCAAGTGTAGTTTCGTTTATTTTCAACGACATAATTTATCCAAAACGTGTAGTGTATTTGCATAAGACATTTTGGACATTCTCATCATCTCTGTACTTGTCATACATAGATATTTATTTTCGAGAGTTAGTTTGTAGGCATGTGATTTATTTCGAGTTGGGCATCAGTTAGAGAACCATTGGAAACCAGTTGGGAGGACTGAAGTGTTGTCTCGTTTTAGTTTGCGACTCATCAAAAGTACGCACCCACTGGGTCTCGAGCATAGGACCTTCTGTTTACGTGGTGAGCTCGTAGACCATTCAGCTACTGGAAACCTACTCAGTGGTCCGTGAAATCTAACTTCTACCAATTCGTGATTTTAGCACGACCATCAGCCAGTGTCATCGTTGGTGAGTACTTGTCCTCACTCCTGACCGGGTGGACTCTACTGGTCAGGCAAATTCATCCTGTAGGCATTAACTAGTGAGTATCAGATTAATTTTCAAGAGGTAGTTTGCAGGGTAACAGAACATAAATTGTGAAACCGTGTGACTAAATTTGATATGATTATGAGCAATAATTTGTGTTCGAAACATCATCCAGTTATTGATACTGTATCACTGTGTGATGTTTAAAATAAACATATCTAACAATATGGAATTACATTCTACCACGGTGCCGAAGTTCTACATTTACATTAATAAAGGGTCACAATTTAGTCACATTGTTTTGGGTCAAGATCACAGATGAGGGGTGTGAAAATATTATTAAGTGTAATAAACTTTGGTTTGAAAATTGGGTCACCAACGTAGGTTCAAAGGAATGACAAACAGTTTTTGAACACAAAGCAGGTTTAAGCCTATTTTTATGTACAGGGCTTCAACGAATTTATGTATGTGACCCAAATCTGTTTATATATTGTTTTAATAAAAGCACTGTTGAAATCAGTTTTATGACCTGTCTCTCTTTGCATGACATTAGGCATCTATTTCCACAAATAATTGAATCAGGTAATTTTATTCGTTATTGCAGTCAGTTGGGAAGGTGTTCTGTAATCCTGACCTGCAGATATCTATGGGTCTTCCCTATGTAAGTAACTGTGACCAAACATACATGTAAATTGATAAAAACAGTAGGATGTGACACTATCGCTTGGATTCTGTAAGCATTTCAGTGATAACATAAATTTTGTTTTCTCTATGAAAATGAGTTTAGCTGCATAGTAAGTTCAGTTGAGTATCTCTGAATCTTTTTTTAGTGATCTCTCGAACGGTAAAGATATCTGAATAGTCATTTTAGGAGCTACAGAAGCGCGATACAATGGGCTGCACCAATCCAATCAGTCCATAGAAAGAGAGGCTGAACGTTAGGCTAGTAACGTCAACTCGTAAAAGAACACCACCTCTAGTGAAACTTCAAAGCTTGAAGCCAAATGTTCCACTAGGAACGGGAAAAAGTCATGTAGATTGAGGTATAGCCTAATTCTATTATATTACTCGAGCAAAAGTGTGTCGGTGGTACAGCAGTACAGTGCTCGCCGACCACGAATGTGGTCCGGGGTTCGATCCCTGGCCACAGACGCACTCCTTTACCTCGCTAAACCAGTAATAAGACTGGTGAGGAGGGAAGGTTGGGCATGAGGCTAGTAACCCTATCCTGTAAAAATAATCACCACTGCTACCTAAACTTCAAGCCTCTAGCTTGAAGCCCTATGTTCCACTGGGAACGTAAAGGAATGAAACAAAACTCGAGCAAAATTTCTTATATGAACATAGTATGATTTGTAGTAGAATATACCTCTTAAATAAATACCACGGGATGTTTATAAGCTACTTTCTACATCACTTGTAGGACTGCATTAGGAATAACTGGTATATATGTATATGCATGCGTAATGATATTAGATGGTTGGAGGCAATCGGCAGGAATCCTTGGACCTAGGTTTCGTGCTAGTTGGCACTCACCAGTCAGCAAGGCGTATCTGCAACCTTGAAGGAACTCATATCCCTTCTGAGATTCGAACCCGCGTCACCCAGTGCTGCAGTCAGAGACGTTACTACTGAGCTATTCGAGCTCGCGATTGACCTCCTGTAGGACTGTAGTGGATATTTTGATTTGACACTAGTAACTAGTGTGATGCGTCTAGTCCCGAATAGTTCAGTGGTAATGTCTCTGACTGCAGCACTGGGTGACGCGGGTTCGAGTCTCAGAAGGGACATCAGTTCCTTCAAGGTTGCAGATACGCCTTGCTGACTGGTGAGTGCCAACTAGCACGAAACCTAGGTCCAAGGATTCCTGTCGATTGCCTCCAACCATCTAATATCATCACAAACAATGTACACCATAATGGCGAGCTATCTAGAATGGTGGCCACATTACAACCTGACTGATAGAATTCAGTCTGCACCAAAGAGAGGACTAGACGTATCACACAAGTTACTAGTGTCAAATCAAAATATGCATGTGTATTTGTGTATCACGAACTCCTAATTGCACGTTAATTAGCGATAAGTGAAGATGAGACCTAAATAATCACTTCCTATATAAGTAGGGAAGAATTTAAGTGTACAATCTGATTTTTATTCATTGACCTCTTAGTGCTTTACTAGAATTGTGATCAAGATTTAACCGAATGGTTCCACAAAAATTGGCCACCGAGTGAAAGACAGCCATATGTAAAAATTATATTTATAAAATTTTAGAGAAAGTGAAGTAAATAATTCCAGCGTTTCATTCGGCAATCTGGTCCGAACTTCTTCAGAGAAATTAGAATGAAGGTATATACATAAAAGGACACATCTTGTCTTTAAAATCCTTGTCGAAGCATGTGAGTCATAAACAGACATCAAAACAAGATTGCATGAACTGTAGTCAAAATTTAACCATACATCTGTCATAAGTCTGTTTTGTTATATACTGTAAACAGTATGTGCTTTTGCATCAGGATTTAGTGATCGTGTTCGACTAAAGGCGATATACAATAGTGTGTGTGCGTACGCATGGGAAAACAACTGCATATCATTTGTCAGCTTTTGCATAAGAAGACAGATATAGATATAGAAACAGATAGATAGGTATAGATCAAGCGTGACAAATAGTGATAAACATTCTCTATATCTGTTTATCAGGAGTTGACATGCTTCAGCTAACACCACACGTTTACGTCCGGTCAAACTTTGGGAATTCATCCATGTATGCAGGGTTTCTGCAGTCAGTCTTTCTTTGTATGAACCAAAACCTATCTGCACAACTTAGGTCCTATCAAAGTCCATCTTGTGTCCCGTTTCTATCATGCGTAGTGCGATTTCTGTTTTGTTTTCTAGCTTTTTCAAATCTCCAGATTTCTTTGCAACCGGCTTTAAGTATTGTTCATACTCTTTTAAATTTACCTGTCTAGCAGTTTCTCCTACATATGCAACATCACAATTCACCTGGTACAGGCAGTTTTGTTGATTGTCTTCTTCTGTTTGATCCTTCACCAGGGAAGAGCGTAAGGTATTCGTTGCACGAAAATGCACTCTTATGTCATGATTGTGAAGAATTCGCTTTATTTCATCGAATTTTCGATTACGATAAGGAATCACCACAGTCTTAGCAGCGGGTTTTGATGCATCTTTACCTTCACTTTTTAAATATATTTAATAAAGGCTTTCATGAAATTATTTGATTCTAGAGTAGACTGAACCAACTTTAATTCCCTGTTGACCTCTTCTTCCTCAGTAACTAGACGTTTGGCTCTGTTTATCCAGATTCTTAGCCATAGTTACTTTGTTAGTAAAGGTATGTACCGAAATGTAATCCAGATATCTCTCCGAATGTGTGGGCTTTCTGAAAATATTGTCTTTTACCTCACCATCTGGTTGTCTTTCAACTAAACAGTACAGAAAAGTCAAATCATGTGCGTTGGATTAATGGTGTTTGATATGTTGTTAATCGAATGGGAAAGTTCACTCAGAAACTTGGTGTTTCATGAAAAGGATTTGCAACAAGTTACAGGCTTTCATCAGCAGCTGCCTTCTCCGGCTCCATACTGAAGATTAAATGCCCAGAAATAATTAGCAACAAGAAACTGTGGGGACAAACCAATTAAGAGCCGATCACTCTACAAATATGTAGGGGAAAATGGAGATGGATTGATTAGGCATACATTGAGGAGACCATCGAATGACATCGCGCGCCAGGCCAGCGCTCGAGTGGAATCCAAATGGGAAGCAACGAACGGGCGGTACTAGGGTTACATAGAGGAGATCGTGGGGGAAGGAGGAGATGAGAGATTATAGTCAATTGTGGAGAGGAAAGCAGAAGATAGGAGAAAGTGGAGATATGTTGTTGAATCCCTATGTTCCACTCTGAACCCCAAGGGAATAATAATATCATTTAATATTTTTTTGTTTTACCCTTTGATTTATTCAAGGCAACCCTTAACTTTGTTGAATTTTTCATAGGATCCAATATTAAGTTGTTCAGTAGTTATCTTCTCGTAACCTACATAATTCATAAAGGCCATGTTATTGCCTTTATCTGCTGTGTTTAATGAAAATAGGTTAACTTTCTGTAGCTGTTTTACTGTCGGTTGTTCGCTTTTGCTTATATTGAGCAAGTTTGGCTTCTCATCTGTCAAACTGAAGTTTTAGTGTCATAAATGTCTTCCCTGTTATCAGAAGAAGGAAATATTGTCTGACTTCAGTATTAAAACTAGTGTTAGAAAAAAATATATATTTGAAGTAGATTTGTAATGTTTGAAAAATAGGAACTTTGAAATCGCCTAATTCATGCGATGCCTTTTGACTATG